CCTTCATTGACAAGGATCACCGGCTCAAGGTCCTGGTTCTCATTCGAGAATATACCCTCACCATTCATGCACCTACAAATGCAATGAAGCTTGCACTACACCAACACTTTCACAACATTCTGCAACTTTGGAGTAGCTTCCACACCCTCAACTCTGCAAATATTGTCTCACAGGTTTCGCAAAACCTGGCAAATCTGAACAGTGTTCTTCTAGATGCCTTGAACACCAAGTGCTCGGATGCCATACAGAACTTTGAGAGCATTATGCTTCTCAATAGTTTCTATCGAAGCACTCAGGACACAGGCTCACCTCTTTTCCAAAACCTCTCCAGGAAAATACTTGCCTGGAAGGACCAGCTAATTTTTGGCAATACCTGATTGAGCGGTTCACAAGTGTGGGATATTTACCCATGACTGATGCCAAGGAACAAATGGTATCAGGAAACACTGGGTGAGCATTTCAAAAATTTCACCTAGATTTTTGGTGAAAAACTTCCTTTATTTTTCACACATTTTTCACTGAAAATGTAGCTGGAGAATTCATAAATTTTCCAGTATTTTTGTGAAAATTCAAACAATTTTCAGTAAAGTCACAAAAGTACAGTAAAAAGTTTAAAATTTTCAAACAGTTTCAGATACACTTCTTGGGTGAAAAATAAAGGAAGTTTTTCACTGAAACTTGGAGTGAAAAAATTGAAATGCTCAACCAGTGAAATGCATATTTTCATACCAAGGATCCACTGCAACAGGGTACAACCGGTTTTAAAGAATATGGTTAATTACTGACATTCTCCCAGCCCAATGGTATGAAGCACTTGGAATCTATTATCAGTATGGCAACACAAATGTTGCAAGTTCCCTCGAGTGCCATCAAAAAGCACTGTTGTTAACGGATAGCACTGGATTCCCCAGCATTGAGGGCCTAAATGCGGTGACTGCTATCTCAAACATCATGATCACGAAAGGAAATCCTTTGGAGGGATATAAGCATGCCAAAAAAGCTCAAGAATATGCTGAGTACCTTGGGGATGTCTATGCACAGGCACACTCTCTCCGGTCACAAATCAGGTGCCTCCAGCTCTTTGCAGACTATTTGCGCGGTCAAATACTCGTGCAAAATGTTAAAGAGCTCCTAATTTCATGTGGTCTGCAATTAGTGTGTGACACAGGTAAACCCGCAGGTGGATCTGGGCCATACCGGACCCAGACCCGCCTATACCGTACCCGTTTGATGGCAGGTACAGTTTAACAGCTTTAGCACCGTGGTGTGTGGTCAAAACCCCTGGTGCCCAAACCGCAGTATATAACCTAGGTATTGTGGCTGACTTTCAGGAATAATGGCTGCCACCCAAATCAATTTGTGGCAAATAGGATATTGTATTATTTCCAGTTACTTCAACGAAACAAAATGTATTATATTACACTCTTGTATATGAAAGCATTTGGCCCACATACTGAAAGCTTTATATGTAGTGCTCCGCCACTGATGGGCGCTTATTTGGCCAATGCCTTGGCCAAATAAGCGCCCAAACCAGATCAATGATCGCTTGCTTCCAACTTCAACTCTCCTCCATCTTCTGCACCGGTGCCTTTCTCTGTTTTTTCCCTCTTTCTTCTTCGCAGCTCCTCCAAAACTATCTCACCCACCAGTGCAGACCATCAGTGATAACCCAACGCCAAAACCTCAAAAGCTGTTTTGCAGACTCACCATTCATGGCCGACGACTACCTGCCCAGTGTGATGACTTGTGTCAATTATCTAAAATTGCCAAAGTACAGCTTCAAGAGCATCATACAGGAGAAGCTGGGCATTGTGATCCAAGAAGGCATGCAAAGTTTCCACCGATCTTGAGGAGTGGAGATGCAGAGAACTTGGAGGACATAGTTACATCTGGATATATCTATTTTCGTAATTGTCTCGGGCTGCAAACTGATGGGCACCTTAAGTAACCCTCAGATATGAATTGTTTAAAATTCCTTGTATCAATATTATTGCAAAGGTCTATATGGTCTCCATTATTAATACACTGTGAAAAGGTCAATGACACCATAGCCAATCATACCCACCAACACCTCAAACTGTGCCTTTACCGCGGGTTTTGAACCGGGGTAAAACTGGTGCCGGTGTGAGGGAGACTGTGGCGTCTGTTTGGAAAACGGTGTTCCAAAATCGACTTGTTCTTCCTCTGGGGGTTTTCTCGTTGATGTGTGGGTCGAAAAAAGTTAGTGAGAAGAGGTGGTCAAACAGAGTTTGCCCGTGAGTCCTGTGGGAGGTCAAAAATAGGGGATAGTGTGAAAAATACCTTGTTCAGATGGCACCCTGCTGGCGTGCTTCGATCCGAGACAATATTCAAGTCTCCGCTTTGTCTTTCTTCTATTGCCTTTCCCCTTTGATCCTGGTGATAGTTGATATGACTGGCTCTCCCAAAGGTGGGATAACCGCGATGGCTTGACGAGGGCCTATAGGCTCAACGTGGGTCGGACTCGTGTGGCGGGCGTGGCGATTCGGCGTTGGTCTAGGTGGTCCGCGATTTGTGTGAGATGCCTTGGTCATTCCTCTCTGCGTTGTGATGTTGACTGCGGTTCTGGTGACTGCAAGTAGGTCTGCGAGTTTCAGAAAGGTACGTTGTCGAGTGCGTAATGTGTCGAGGGTAATATGTGCTTTTCCAGAAGCTTATACGTGGAAGTCGTGTGCTGAGTCGTTCAGCGGGCTGTTCCCAGTTCGCAGGGAAAATGGAGTGTACTTGTGCTTATGTCGATATTCGTAGTGCTGAGTCGTTCAGCAGGCTGGTCCCAATTCGCTGGGATAATTCGTAGTTCGTCGTGGATTGGCTCCAGATAGTGCAACACTTACATCATGCTGAAATCAGGCAGCTCAATTGGTTCTTACTTTTGTTGCGCTTAGAACAACCAATCAGACAGTGCAGAGGGCTCTCTAGCCTACTCGAGGTGACTGCTGCAGAGGCTTGTTCGGGTTCATAGTTCGTAGAAAGAATTCCAGAAAGTGCGACACGGCCGGCGTGACGAATTCAGGCAATTCTAACAATTCGTAGTGACTTTCATGAGCTTAGAGCAACCAGTCAGACAGCGCGGAGGGCTCCGGTGAACCTACTCAGATTGGCTGTTGCAAAGGCTTGCTCGGTTTCGTAGTTCGGTGCGAGTGGTATATAGATGAGTCGAAATAGACTCAAAAGTTCAAGTATGCGTGTAAAGATTCGCTGTAAATTTAAACGCGTGGCTACTACAGTGGGTGGTTGTCTACTTTGGGGGGGCCTGAGGCTCCTCCTTATATACTACTGGCATGGGAATTTGATCGGGGGTTGAAATGACTCATTCTGACTGTGCAAGGCTGTACGCGGAGCCATATTGCTATGTTTTTAATTAATCGGGAAGTTGTTCTGACTCATTGCGGCAGTGCCGCTGTGCATGGCTGTTCTTTGAGTCATATTGCTGTGCAGGGGAGTCATCCTGACTCATTGCGGCAGTGTTGCTGCGCGACTGTGCATGGCAAAACCTTCTTGCCTTATTTAGAAATTTGTTAAACCCCGATTAGTATGTGTTTGGGTGGCCATGATGTGTTTGTGTTTATTTTTATAGTTCCTGATGGGAGCGTGAAATTTTCTCTTCACCCCCAACAAGTTTACTGTACGACAACGTCCTCTGGGGGAAATAATCAAGGCAGTGGAGTGTAGCAAGTTTTCGTGAACGGTGTAGTTAATTTGTTTTTAGTGCATGGGTTACCCCAAGCAGGTCTAATTAAATGCCTATGGGGGTGCTACTAGGTATATCAGATCTGCTGGTGGTTATTCTGGGTGTTTGAGCGGCCGGAATATAACAATTAAGAGCTAAAAGAGCGCCTGGGTCGCTTCTCCGGGTGTGTTTTAGCTATATTTCGCTTCATATGTCGATGAAGGGGATCGATACTAGGCCTTCTCCTGCGCCAATCGACCTATTGCAATCCCTACAGTCGTTTCAGAGCGATGCGGGAGCACGAGTAGTGCCAGACTCGAGAGGATTTATAGTTTTCGTGGTCTTTTATCGCCAAAGACAGCGACCAGAGGGAAAATTCCTTGTCTCTGACCCTGTTTGTAACGTATACTAAGGGATCCGGGTCGTCGATCGAGGCAAATAAGATGATATGCTCAGGCGAGAGTGTCTGAGGAGTATCCGGATGTCGTGGGTTACTGGTGGAAGTTCCTAGTTGGATCTATCCACAGAAAGGAAGGGCTGACCGCGTTAGCGTAGATGGTGGGTCGAGGCTACCGCGCCCTGATTTCGTACTGCAAGTAAGTTCATAACGGCAGTGTTTCCGTGTATGAGTATCGTTTTCCTCAAATCAGAGTGTTTTGGGTGAAGGATGTGATCCGGGAGGATCTTGTGAGTGCTTCGAAAAGCAGAGGGAGATGTTTCACAAGAGAGCCTGCTGGATGACCAGAGAGCTCTATAGTTGGGTGTATTCTTATCCTTCTGCTAGTGTGGACTAGAGAAATACAGGGGAACTCGGTGATGATTTATGTGAAGAATGATCTTTGTATTTATAGTTTTCCCTCTCCTGGGTCCCCTTCTCCTACCATATGACTCCTCACCGGCGCCCGCCTGTCATAGCCAGCTTGGTCGTCCGGGGCTGAAAATAGATTGTCTTGTTACGACGACCCGAAATAACCCCCGGGTCGTGTGGTACAAGATGTTCTTGGCGCACTCCGGATCGTATGGCCACCAAGTCGTCGTGGGACGTCTGGACCTATCAATAGTGAATGGTCTTGGCATGCTCCGGGTCGCACGAGTCGCCTTCTATGTCATACAAATGACGTCGCCTGTCCCGGGTCTCCAGCCAAGCCGAGCTGGCAATGACGCATGCAAACGAAGGCCCTTCCTGCCTGATCTGTGTTATAGTCGGGCTCGTATTTCCTCCTGAGCGATATAAATCCATCTCCGGGTCCTATGTCAATCGCCTGGCCTTGTGGTGTACTATCCCGTTGTTGCGGAATCCGAGAAACATAATGGTCCTATGGTTTAGCGGCCTATGACACTCATAACTGAGAGACGCGCGTTCGAACCGTGCTAGGATCGTAGTGCGGCTTTTCGCCTGTCCTCCCATTGCTGGAAAGCAGAGGGAGGCCGGGTGAATAAGTGTACTACCCTTTTTATAATTCTTGGAGGTTGATGTTTATTTTCGAGGGCATTTGTGGGTTATAATATCCGGACGTGGGTTCTAGACGAGATAGAGCTGGGGGAGAAGGCGGTTTGAGGAAAAGTGGAGACCCAGATCGTTGTTCGTTGGTGGCATAGGGAAGATAGGGGCCCGGAATGACGTGATGATGAGTGTTTTGGTGGTACGGTCAAGCGATAGCGACTCAGGCAGTTTGAGGAAAAGTAGAGACCCGGATCGTTGTTTGTTGGTGGCATAGGGAAGATAGGGGCTCGGAATGACATGATGATGAGTGTTTTGGTGGTACGGTCGAGCAATAGCGACTCAGTGGGGGTATAGGGAATACCGCTAGGGTTTGGGTGGTAATTTATCGCTATCCGATGCCGGTTGGTGGGTCGAGCGAAGTGAGAGCTCACAGCGTCAGCAGTGGTTTTCAATGACAAGGGAGCGGTTAGTGTGGGTCAGACGTTCGGTATGAACCATCCAGAGGATGAGTGGTGAAGTGTCTTGCGACAAGTTAGAAGGTTAGTGTGTGTGTGTGTCAACGATGTATTGGGGGATTGGTTTACACTAGAGAACTAGTGGGGGGAAAACCGTTCCAAGATTGACTGCCTACTGTCTAGAAACCCAGGTCCTTTTATACCTTTGTGAATATCCCCTTTGGAGCATCTCTACATGTCCCCAGTCCACTTCCTCGGCGTTCCAGCCCATTCCATCGTGTTTCAGTCGGTCCTGAGCTGACTCGAACATCGGGAGGCATCACAGTTTATTGCCTTTTTTGGACCATATCTCGTCGAGACGTGGCGGCTGGCAAACCTCTACCTTCCTAATCTGTCCAAAGTTCGTTCAGGCACGACGGTTGGCAGCCGAATTTGGGTGAAACACGTGCGATGTGTCGGGTCCGATGTTTCGGAGCATGTGGTACCTCATGGTCGTCAACCTCGTTATGGCCAAGGTAGTTCCCATGTGCCAATGGTGAAACCGGGCGCGACGCTTGGTGTGATGGAATCCAAGTCGCGGCGGCCTGGTGTGTGTTTGTTGGACGTGTGAGGGGTATATGGAGTGTAGAGGTGTCGCGTCTGGTCCGTCGTATCTGCTGGGGCATACACAGCGCATGTGGGAGCCCCACACCAGTATGGTGCGGGTTCCGGGTTATTTGGTTTTAGCCCCAGGCCAACCCGTACCCTTACCCTCCAGACCTGTACCCGTACCACTGCGGTTAGACCCCTACCCTTGCCATACACTATCTGCAAGGGAGCCAAATAGATGTGGTCACCAGTAACTCAGTGCTGAGATGCATCTTTTGCAGACAGAATATCTTAAATCTCGCAAAATCCAGGTGGCACTTGCATCTATATTGAAGCCAGGCACATACCATTCACTTGGAGCAAACCTGAACATTGCTCAAATTGATATTGCAATTGGTGTAGACTCCAAGCTCATTCATCCAAATCTGGAGGCTTGTCACCAGCAGTGCAAGGCATTGTCTGGGCTGCAGCGCACCCATATTGGCCTTGTGGTTGACCAGAATTTTGTGAAACTATATCTTCGAGAAGGTGACCACAGCACAGCAAATAGGAAGTTCACCAACTGTTTCAAATTATCAAGGAAATTGCAATGGATGGAAAACACACTTTATTCCTTGGAACAACTTGCAGATCTTTCAAGTGGCATGAACAATTTCCATGTCACGCTGGGATGGGTGGGAATATTTCTGGTATTGGCATTGAAGTCCGAGCTCAAGCTGGCTACAATGAAAGCCTTTGTCTGCCTTGGCCAGCTATTTGTCATACAAGGGGATCATGAAACCGCTCTCAATGTGTTCAACATTGCTCTGGATGGATTCACATTCATGAATGTTCATCGCTGGAGGGCAGACTGTATCGTTCGGATTGCAGAAATTTGGGAACAGAAGGCAGAGGTTGCAAAGTCAGTTGAATTATAGAAGCAAGCAAGGCCTCTGTTTGAAAAATCCTCACAGGCCCAGGATGTCACTTGAATTGACCTCAAGCTTGCTTCTGTGCATGCAGACATCTATAAGATACAGCATGGGGAAGTGGAAGGATAGGATGAAGAGAGTAGGTGGTTGACACTGATTGTTCAAATTTTGTACCTTTCATACAAGGATCCATGCTAAGTACTCTTTCTCGTAGCTTGGTGATACAGTAAATTTTCCAATCCCAGAATCACTGACTTAAAAGTTTGAAAAACAGCCCAAAGAGTTTCCTTGCTCATTCAAAAAGAACTCAATTTCACGGGGTATAAATGTGTTGGCCCAGGGTGTTGCAAGGGTGAGTGTTGAGTCACAGCCGTTTTCTTGTGCACCATCCGTTGGTCTCAAACCAAAATACGGCTGCGAAGTCAGATTTCAATGCTGGGTGACTGGTTCTCACTCTGTGCGGAAACCCGATTTTCTAATCTCGGTTCAAAGTGTCTAGCGGTGTCCGTCCGATCGCGGTGAACCGAGGCAGACCACCACCATGTACACTCCCTTCCACCAGTTAATTCAGTGTTTTACGGGCACAGAAAAAAGGAGGGGGCATTATTGAATTCTGTTGCCCACCAATACACAGCATGTGTTTGATGTGGAACGTGGGGAATCAATCTTCACTGTAGTGGAACACACAATCACTTCTGCAGTCATCGCAGCACACTAGGAGGGTAATGGAAGTAGTTTTAAATATAATTATACCTCAGATTTTTTGCAAGCCCACAAATGAGATCACGGGGAGGCATAAAAGACAGCATCAGTAAACTGCTCACCACATCTGGAAAATGGATGTGGTCTGTAGGTGTCTGTCCCAGACACTACAGACCACATAGTTCCATAGACCAACCCAGACACCAGCATACATTGTAGAGGCAAGTGTATGTAGGTACAGTGCCCGTATGTTCCTCAATGGGACCACCGCGGTTATACAACTTCCTTCCTTCCTTCCTTCCCACAGACGCTGCCAGACCGATCATCAATCTCAGCTAATCTCGGCTAACCCAACTGGGCAATGCATCAGCTGGCATCAGCAGCAGCTGTTGGGCAGCAGCGGCACTGGATTGGTTTGCACAGAGAGCATATGAAAGATGAGGGCAATAAATATATTGATGAAATAAAGTCTTGTGTACTACATACTTGAGGAATACCACAAGGGGGTGTCGGCATTCGAGATTAGCATATAGGGTCGGAAAGTTTTTTTCGACCCGATCTTAACCCCCTCCATAACCCCCTATATGAGGAAGAGTTTCCCACACTTGTTGCGAGCCGAACTCGTGATAGCATCAATTTTGCCAAACAAGTCTAAGCTGGAGCCAAAATCTACGCGCACAGTGTCAGCACGGCGCATGAGCAACGCCGGTGTGGTTTCAGGACTTCAAGCATATGATTTTAAAAATTTTGAGGAGCTCACAGCCAGTCTGATTTGAGTGGAAAAAATGTGAAAAAAAATCTCTCAAGTGTGCAAACGTGTTTTTACGCTGATTCACACTCATTTGAAAACACGGTATGAAAGTTTTTTTCGGCCCTGGCTGTGTGCCAAAACAGGAGGGAGTTAGCCTCTAGCACAATAAATATAATTTCGTATATTACAGCTTCGACCTTGGAAACCGAAATTTTATTGTATTGTGGGGGAAGCTTGGGAAACGCAATTGTTACCATACCATGCTTGAACATAGCGGGAAACTAGAGCCAATTCCGTAGCGCATTTCGGATACGCACACGTGGCCAGTTCAAAAATATGTCATTCGATTTCATATGGGAGACTTGGGTCCCTCATGGAGGAGGAGGAGGAGGAAGAGGAGGAGGATGTATTACTGCAGTGGTCCCTAAAAGGAACAAGTAGGTACTGTGCCTACATACACAACGTCCAAATGTAGGCTACAGTCATCGGCTGTCACGGCGCTGCGGTAGCCCTTGAACCTACTTACTAGTAGGTAGACATCTCACGAGTTAGACAATAGGCCAACGGGATGCGTAGTCTATCCAGTAATTCTGAAGATAATGAGGAAGTAGTGTGGTGCCTCGTCGAAGACAGCCAGAACCTTGTAGACATACTTGGCAAACAACCTCACGGCTTTCCGAGACGCGACAAGCCTCAGAAGGAACGCGTAGCTGGTGATTGCCGCATATTGTGATCTAGTATCGGGATCGCAGCTGTCCAGATTCTCTAGGAACTGTTTCCTCAAAACCATGAGGCGAGGGCTGAAAGTACAATCAAAAAGTGCATGCACCTCGTCTTCTACAGCCCTTCTACAAAATCTGCACAACCTAAGGCGGCGTGGAACCACTCCCTGTATCCTAAAGGGTAACGGAGCCGCTCAACGCTTAGGTTGTAATCCCCGAGATACGGGCCGGTGATGGCCTTGCGATGCGCTGGGATGGAAACCATCGTGAGGTAGTGTCGAAGGCGGCAGGTGACAAGGAATTGTGGTATAAGCCGTGTCATTGGCGACAGCCACAAAGTGAAACCAGCGAGTCAATCCTCAGGCACTGCCACAGCGCCACCGGTAAATGAACTTCCCGAGGTCGTGAGGTCAGGCCCCCAAAAAAATTCCAGTATCTTGCCAGCTTGGCTGAGCCTGGCCTAGCCTGGCTGAGCTGAGCCACAAGCAAAGGATAAAGAGATAATACTCAGACAGGCACAATATGAGCGAACGGCTGTATTGAATAGGGGAAGTCAAAGCTCGGATTCAAGTGCCGATTCTGGCATAGAGATGTTACAATATTAAGGAGCGAGGTCTAATAGATCTATGCACTCGCGCGCGCGTGCACATGCCGACTTTATGGTGCATCGAGCCTCATCTTCAACAAAGGAAAATTGGCGAGAGAGCTGATTCACCTTGCTTGTCTAGGTCTCCCTCCGTTGAAATTATCTAATCGCTATCAATGACAAAACAAAACATAACCAAATACTACTCTGGCTTCAGCCGT